TTTCCCAATGGATCTTCAGCAATTCAACCCCTAATAGGCAACAGTCAGTTTTACAGGCGACGAAGCAGCTTCTTTGGGAAGGGGGGTGCACAACACTTCTCCCCGTCCTTACGTTCAGGTCCCTTTGGGATGCGACCTTGCTGCTCTTCCCATCAAGATGCTCCCACTGCCTCTTGAGCCTGGCCTGGCGATGTGACATCCCACAGCTGCTTAACCTGCTCAGTCAAGGTCTCCAGATGCCTTGTAGCTTTCACTCTCTCTCCCATTATCTGGAGACCTTTGTGTGAGTAAATCTACACAGGCAAAGGGATGAGGCTGGCTGGGTACCACTTGCTAAGCATGTGAGGAGGCCACCGTCTGCGTCCTAGCACTGAAACTGCAGGAGTGATTGCAGAACAGGTCGGCAGAAGAACTTCACAGCCGAGCCCAGCCTAGACTGCTGGTCTTTAACATCAAGAACAAATAAAATTAATGTTGTTTCAAGCTATTAAACTTCGGAGTGATCTGTTCTTTAACAATGATGATTGATACAATAGTTCTGGTATCAGAAGCATTAGTCTTCTGTTGTTTCCAGTGGCAGTCACTTTGCTCTAATGGCTCCTGCTTCCTTTTTTTGTAAAATGTGGATATTTTGCTCATCTGTTGTCATGGAGTCCCAATTTCAGGTAATTTTTTAAATTTATTTTTGGGTCTTTTTGAGACAGGGTCTCCCTGTAGCCCCAACTGGCACTTGCTATGTAGGCCAGGCTGGCCTGGATCTCACAGAGATCCGCCTGCCTCTGCCTCCCGAGCACTGGAACTAAAGGTGTGTGCCATCACGCCCAGCTTATTAATTTATTTTTAACTTATTTGTATTTTTTATGTGTTCGAGTGCACTGACTGCATGTAAGTGCATCCCTGTCATGTAGTGTTCACAGAGCTGAGAAGAGAGCATCAAATCCCTTGGAACTGGAGTTATGGATGGTTGTTAGAGCCAGGGATTCAAACCTGGGTCTTCTGCAAAAAAGTCAGTGCTCTTAACTGCTGAGCCATCTCTCCAGACCCCCAGTTTCAGGTTTTTAATTTCACACATAAAACCCCAACAAAAGAGTCATACACAGTAAGAGGAATTTATCAAGTCACATGATTGAGTTCAGAGTTTGGTCTGGCTTCAGTTATAACTCAATTCAAGGACTCAGATGAAAATATCGGGTGTTCTTTCATTCTCCATTTCTTCTTTCTGATTCCCTTTGTATGTCAGTTTCATTGCTAAACAGGTCCATCCTAACTGGAGCCTCCCTTGCAGTTCAGGGCTCAAGTTCATCTAGTTGGGCAAACCCGAGAGGAAGTTGGATTGTGTATGTGTGTATATACATTCGTGTGTGCCACATGCACATGCATGTGTGTGGAAGCCAGGGGGTCATCCTTGGGTATTGCTGCCCAAGAGCCATCCACTTTGTGTTTTGATACAGAATCTCTCTCTGGGACTTGGGGCTGGCTAGCGAGGCCCTGAGATCCATATTTCTGCCTCCCCAGAACTAGGATTACAAGTACGAGCTACTGTGCCTGGCTTTTTAAGTGTGGCCTGGAGATTGAACTCAGATTTTCATATTTGTGTGGCAAACACTTCACCAACTCAACTATCTCATCAGTTCCAAGAGAAATTTTTTGTTTGTTTGTTTCTTGATATAGTGTCTCATGTAGTCCAGGTTGGCCTCAAATTTGCTATATGATTGAGGCTGGCCTTGAAGACCTTATCCTCCTGCTTCTGCCTCTCAAATACTAGAATTATTGGTGTGTGCCACTACACCTGACTCCCAAGGAAAGTTTGACCCTTAGTAGCTCAATTGGAAACATGGGCTGGGGGATGATATACTCTATGGTCAAGGCTGGGCACCTGGCCATGCTGAGCTGGTGAGACAGAGAAGGCTGGGTATAGGGGCCGGGGCGGGGGGAGGGGGAAGGCATCAACTCGCCGAGACCATCTGGTGAGTTTTGCACAAAGGAAAACTGGGATGGTATTACTAGAAGAAATGGAAGCTGAGCAGTTAGAAAATAACAGATGTTCCCTCTCTATCGCCTTGCTGGGTGAAGAGATAACAGTAATAGCTTACATTTATTAAATGCTTATTAGGTATCTGGCATTGCTCTAAGTACTTTATGTATATTAATTCCTTTTAATTCTCTCAATTTAGGAGTAGATGCAGTTATTTTCCCACTTTACAAATGAGGAAGATGAGGCGCAAAGGGGGTACTCTCCCTGTGGTTATGCATGTATAAGTAACATCTGAGCCCATCCAAGCTGGCCTGACGGCTACTGTCCCTAACCACCTCTCTGTATAGACAGATGGTCCCTGATTTAGGATGGTTTGATTTGTGATATGCTAATGTTGGTAAGAAAGCAACCAGCATTCAGCAGAAACCATACTTCAGAGTTTGAACTTTTACCTGGACTAGTGATGTGTGATGTGATAGTGTGGACCTGCTGGGTACCAGCAGCTTTTAGGTGGTCATCAGGTCACATGGTGAAATAGCCAACACCCTACAGCATCCTGTCCTGCTGAAGTGTATTCAGTGTTTTTGTGCCTTATGGGAGCTTCTAGTCTTTCTTCACCTTCCTCTTTCTCCCTGTCCTTTCATTTTTTGAGACACAGTCTCACTATGTAGCCCAGCCTAGCATTGCATCTACCATCCTCCTGCCTTAGCCTCCTGAGTATAGGGATTACAGGTGCATCCTAGCAAAATCAGCTGATTTTTTGATTTATGATGGGTTTACTAGGCCACAAGCCATCAGAAATCAAGGAACACTGATGCTGCCAATAGTTGATCAGCACTATAGCATGCAGAATTCTGATATGTATCTCCAAGATTCCCACCCCAGACAGTAATCCTCCCTTTGTGAGAGTGACCATGACTTTTGAATGAGCCTGGATAGTCACTCCTTTGATTAGGTTGTATGTCTTATAGAGCAAAGTTGGTGGGATACTCACTTTCAGATCTTCTAGTTGATGGCACAGGGTTCTCCTGATGGCTTTTTTTTTTTTTTTTTCCTTCTGCCTTTTTGAGACAGGGTCTCCCTGTAGCCCCAGCTGATCTGTATAGACTGAGTAAACCAGGCTACCCTTAAACTCAGAGATCTACCTGCCTCTATCTCCTGGGTGCTGGGATTAAAGGCCTGTGCCACTATGCCTGGCACCCCCACTGATTTGAAGGAAGTTGTCAAGATGCCAGGAACCCTCTAACTGAGAGCAATCCTTGGTCAACAGCCTGCAAGAAAGACACCAGGAGGAGCGCTGAGTTCTGTGGGTAATGTGAAGAGCTTGAAGAGATCCCTCCAGCTCTGGAGGAGACAGCCTGGCTCTTAACTTGGTTCAGATTCAGGAGCTCCTTAGTAGAGGGCCTAAATCTGATGACCCCAACTTCTCACCTCTAGAAGGGTGAGATAATAAATGTACAAGCTTTATGCTGCTCAGCTGTGATGGTTTGTTACCAGTAATAGCACTTTCTCATCTTTCCCACCAAGGGGCCATGGTCCTCTCCCTCTGGCATTGACATTCCCAGGACACTCCTACCAGTTCTGCTCCTTGCACTGTGCAGCCCCCACAGCACCTCAAAGGGACAGTTGTGTTGTAATCAGATGGAAGCCCATCAGGTCTGTGGCCACCAGAACCTGAAACCACATCTGGTATGTTTACTCTGCAGTTGGCAGAAGGAATAAGAATGTACATCTGTGTAAAATGTCTGAAAAATTTTTAACAGATTTATTTTTATTTTATGTGTATGAATGTTTTGCTTGCATATATGTATGGGTACCATGTGTATGCCTGGTGCCTGTGGAGGTCAGAAGAGGATGTGGGATTCCCTGTTGTGAGCCACCATGCGGGTGCTGGGAACTGAACCTGGGTCATCTGGAAGAGCAGTCAGTGCTCTTAACCACTGAATTATCTCCTTTTGAGACAGGGTTTTGATATGAAACCACGCTGGCCTTGAACTTGGGATCCTTCTGCCTGTTTCCTGAGTGCTGGGATTACAGGCTTCTGTTGATTTGTCTGGCTAATACTTTTTAGCTTTTCTAGGAACATCATGATAGAGCCTGAGCTGTTTCCAAGAGTAGTTGGTGGTAAACTTTAGCCTGGACTCCCAGGACAGACACCAGCTGACCTAAAGTGATGTGAAGTTTTAGTACACATGGGTCCCCTACACTACCAGGGGCATAGTCACTCACTCTTCTAGATGACCAGATGTTTCCTGGGATATTGGAGCCCTTTCTTAGCATTTCACATTTCTTTCCTCTCAAACCACTCCTTCTTTGGCTTTTCCCAGGTGAGGCAAACAGGCTGGTGTGTTTCTTTCCAGGTATTCGAGGTTCCAGTATACCAGGCAAAGTTGGTGCTCAGCCCATCTGCCCAACCAGCACAGAGTACGGGAAGAATTCAACATTCCACAAAGGGCAGCTCTGATGATGCCCAGTCCACAGGTAAAACCCAGCTGAGGATGCTGATCTCCGTGTGATTCAAATTCCACTGATTGGGTGATAAAACGGGACCCACCTGGAAGAAGGCAGTCAGTCATGCCAGGCTCATTTCAACCATCTCTGTCTCTTACGGGCATTTGAACAACCAACCCTCTAACACAACTTTCAATCATTCACGAGGGGCGTCACTGCAACACAAGGGCCAAATCCCAAGGCAAACAGACTCACCCTGTTCCCTAGCCCGGGAGGGTATTACCCGGCTCTGCTAAAGATAGAGCTGGGTCCCTCCCCAGGAACTTCCTGGCTTTTACTAATTTGTCATCCCAAACGCAACTTTTCAGAGGTTTTTCTTTGTAAATGTGGGTGTGAAACTGCTTTTCTAACCACATCATGCGGCAGGCTCTCAGAACATCTGTATATTATTTGAAAACCGAACATCCGGTTGGGTTGTTCGGGTGGGTGTAACAAGAGGCCAGGGTGGGACATGTTAAAAACACGTCCACATCATTTTATAGAGGCAGAAAAATCAGGCAAGAAAAAAAGACATATGGGTAATTGCTTTGGCTCAATGACACGTTTGATCAAGAGCCCGCCTCCCCCTCTTTTAGCACCGAAGTTAAGAGAAAAAAACTGGACGTTTAGAAGTCTAAGTGATAAAGATCTTCTCACCCAGAGCCAAGGGACAAAACTCATTACAGATAAGCCTAGTCCTTGCATTTCCCCCGGATGCCTCTCTCCTGAGCTTAAGCAGTGGCTCCTGGGGAGGCTGCCAGGAAACCGGTCCCGCCCCCCGGCTCTGCTTTTCCCTAGCCCCGGGTGAGAGGCGCACTTCCCGCGGGACCAGACCCGGCTCAGCCAACTTCACCCCGGAGCAGCGAGCAGGGAAAACTCTACCGCCAATCCTTCACTGCTCAGAGAAAGGTGGTGTGGGACTTGGGCTGTATTTTGCAAGCCTGGATCAATCTCTCACCCTTCCCCCGCTCTCCCCAGACGTAGAATCGGCCAGTGGAGGCTCAGAAAGGAAAGGAAAAAAAAAAAAAAAAAAAAAAATCAAATCTCAATGCAACCTGAGTGCAAAGGGCGCACGGCTTTGTTTCCAAGCGAGGGAATGCGCTGGGCTGGGGGCGCAAGGAGGTGCGCCCCACCGTGGCACCTTCAAGGCAGTGAGGGGGTGCAGGAAGCCCCCTTGCCCTGAGAAAGGTAGCAAGCTGACTCCTTCCTGTCCCCAGATTCGGGCCGGGGCACCCTCTTCCCCTCCCCCAAGTCCCCGATCGGCGGGCTGCCACGGACCAGAGATCTCGCCAACCCCGCACAGATCATTACGTCTTTAAGAGCTCGCACCACGCGAAATCTAGCAGAGCCACGCGGACCCCAGCGGACAGTCAACCTCTTCCCTCCGGGAGACCCAGCCGGGGTCACCCCAGCTCCCCGCAAACCCAGATCACACAGCCCCAGGGCGCGCCCGGAGAGCGGACCTCAGGAAGCTTTAGGAGGCCGGAGCCCAGCGCGCGGCCGCTTTAAGAGAGCGGAGCGCGCGCCCCCGCCCCCGGCGATCCAGAGCTGCGCGTCCCCGCGCGCTCCTGCTGGCGCGCCCCCGCCGCCGCGCGCCCCCAGCTCGCCCGCTCGCCCGCTTGCCGGCTTTAAAGTCTCTGCCAGGATCCATGCTCACATGTTACTTCCTGTATGGAGGTATGGCCAGTTTCCAGCCCCGCGCTCCCGGTTCCTCCCCAGCCTGCGCCGGAGCCACAACTTTCAGGAGCATGGACTGAAGGCGCCCTCGCCCCAGCGCCCCTCTGAGATCCTTTGTGTTTTCCCTCCGCTCCTCCGGCTGTTGCTGTTCTGGGGGTACTCTGCGCTACGCCCCGCCGCTTCCCTGCCTTTCCCCGCCCGCAGACATGCCTCCTTTCTTGCCCGGGCCCTGGAAGGAGCTGCCTGCCTGAAGCCCGGAGCCGCCGCGCCGCGCTCAGCCCCGCCGTCGTCCGCCGGCTCCCCAGCTGCGCTGCGCTGCCGACTCAAGTTGGGGATCGCCGGCTGCTCGCTGCCGCGGTCCGCGGTTCCTGCCTGCCCCGGGCCCCGGGTACTGCCGCCGTCCGCCTGGTCCTCACCCTGCGCGATCGGCTGGATCGAGTGTGAGCCGAAAGCAGCCCTTCTCCGAGAGGATCGTCCCCAGCGTGGCTTTGCATTCGCGGTTACTTTTTGAGGTTTTCCCGGGGGCGCTCGGCGGCTTCCCGGATTCCGGGGGGACCCGTCGCCCAGCGTGGGGAGCTGGTGCAGCGGGCGAGCCGACAAAGCTCTCAGTCTGAGCCGAGGCTCGCGCGGAAGCACGAACTTATTCAACAAGTTTACCCCCCTGCTTCTCTCTTTTCGATGTGCGTTTTCGGACATGCGGAGGTTACTGGAACCGTGTTGGTGGATTTTGTTCCTGAAAATCACCAGTTCCGTGCTCCATTATGTGGTGTGCTTCCCCGGTGAGTGGCGGCCGCCGAGGGGACGCGGCTCTGGCCCGCGCGCGCGGGGTCTGCGGAGTTGTCGCCGGGGCGCGGAGCTTTGGGCGCCAGTCCCAGGGACCGCGGCGAGGGTGGAGGGGGGAACGCGGAATCCGCTTCATTGGCTCTGGTGGCGTTCTCGGAGGATGGTGGTCGGGGAGGGAAGAAGCTGGGCGGGCTGGGGAGGCGGATTGGAGACCCTGGGTCTGCTCTGACTGTGATTTGGGAAGCTTGGAGAACCTGGAGTCGGGAGGAAAGGCGACTTGCTTTGCTGATCCTGAGCGGATCCGGCTGGAGTTGCGGGGTGTCTGGGGAGACCGGGGCCACTGGGAGGATGCTCTGTTGGTTTGGGTGATCTGGGGTGCTCCGGTTGCTGCGGCGTGGATAGGGGGAGCGTATAGCTCGCGCGCGGGGGGGTGGCTCGCTTTGCAGCCCTCGGTCCCTTTGCGGGGTGGCGGTGCTCGGGGATGAAAGGCGGAGGCTAGCTGCAGAGGACTCAGGATGTAGGGAGCAGCCGGCGTTCTGGTCGCAGTGACCGGGGGCGCCTCTTTCCATGCCTGCTCACCCGCTGGGGTGCGGGCTACGCCTCGGTGCCGGACCCGGGGGCCTGGGCACAGCTGGAGAGCAGGGAGCAGGCGATTTAGACTAGATTGGTGCCTCACTAGGTTCCTTTCAGCAAGACTCTTTGGGGCCAGATTGCGGGGGTCCAGGCACCGGGGGCGGGCCAGCTGCTGGGTTGCTGTTCGCGCCGGGGCGGGTTTTTTTGCTGTCTGGCGCGCCCTGTCTACCTTCATCTTTGCCCTTTTGCAGGCTGAGTGTGCCTGCCAGACCCAGACTAAGACCCAGACCGACACCCAGACCCAGACCCGGACCCAGACCCAGACCCAGACCCAGACCCAGACCCAGACCCAGACTCAGACTTGCTTCTTTTCTGGCTGGGTTAAGGCAGGACAATATTGGTCATTGAGGACAATACTAAAATCAGTGCACGTAACAGTGTGCGGTGTGCAGCTCGGCGACCCTCCATCCAGCCTTCAGCCGGCAGATACCCTCCCCCTGGTGAGGGCAGAGGCCAGCCGCCTTCCTTGCAGAGTCCGCGGGCTGCTACCCCAGGCTCCCTCAAGCTGTCCAGATCCTTCACTGGGCGGTGGAGGCCGTGTCCTCTGCCCTAGCTGAGGGAAGGTGGGAGAAAGGGCGCGATTCGCTTTTCTTCCCTGGATCTCCTAAGGACAGAACACCTTGTTTTTCTGCTTTCTCATCCGCCCGTTCTGGGGTCCTTGGAGGAGGCGGTTATCCGAATCAACGAAAAGAAACGTGCCCCGATGTTTCCTCTTTCCCCGGTTAACAGCCGCCTGTGCTCAGGCGACCAGGGCGGGGGTTTTTGGTGAAGCTGGTCCCCCAGCCCTGTCGTGCCGGGCATGGGAGCCTTCGCTGCCCTCGGGGACCCACTCCCGGGGGACTTGCAGGGAGTGCTCCCTTTGTAGGTTCAAGAGTGATCACCTGGGGCAGAGTGGCAAACCTCTCTTTCTTCCGCTCCCGCATTTCCTCCGCGCATCCTCCTGTCTCTGGAGCCGGTACAGCGTCCGGAAACTCAGCTCGGAGGCTGGACGAGGATGTGCTTGCACACTCACCCGGAGGCCTGGGGTTTGCCCACTAGGGTCCTGCCACTGTGGGAGTGGATGCCCGGGGGAGGGGGGAACATCTCCCCCCGAGAAATACCACTCTTCCCCTCCGTTTAGAGACCACCGACCAGCGGTTTTTGTTTTTTTTTTTTTAATCACCCACTCCTGGCTAGATTCCTCTTCTTTGCCACGGACTTGCCGGCTGAGTGGGCTGGGGAGGGTCGAGCTTAGTTAGGGTCACTTTTTAATAGGGGCAGCGGGAGGCAGCCTTGCAAAACAGAAATTTCCAATTCCGTTTCTGGCCAACCTCCTCGGAGATGTATCCAGTATTCGCACTGAATTTTCCTTCCTCTTGGTCTGAGGTTTGCAACCCCAGTATGGGACCACTAGGGATGCCGCCTTGGCGGGGCTTGGACCATTTTGGTTTACCTTATTTTCCTTCCCTGCTCAGGTTTCGCGGTAACTAGATGTTACCCTCTCCCGGGAGCTGAGGGGAATCGGGAAGAGAAGGAGCAGTGGTTCAGAGGCACAGGAGAAACAGCCTGCCAGGGTGCAGTAGCCTTTGGAGGCCATCAAAGTTAAAATGTCACAGCCCTGGGAGATGCTGGCTTTCGGTTTTCCGAGGGTGGTGCGACGCCGCTGAACCTCAGGGGGCGCCCCAGAGCCATCGTCTAGCTCCCACCACCTCCACTGGTCCACGTTGGCCATCTTCACGCCGGAGGATGGGACGCACGCCCCCAGGTGCCGAGGATGGGGGTCTGCGACATCCCTGGGCGCGAGGCGGCGCCCAAGGCTCCGCGCTGCTGCTTGTGGCTGGCTCGAATCCTTGTGGGGACCAGAGTTTGCTTTGGGGACCCCCTCCCCCCATTTCTTGCTGCCTTAGCTTCTGTAACAGTTTTAAGTGTTTGACTCGGGGTTAAAATGCTTCTGGTTGTCGATCAGGGTCCTCTTTGTGAGTTTTTAGCTGAAATCTGAGATTGGTTATTTTCTTTGCTCTTAGAATCGTCCCATGTTCAGGACTCAGGGTCGCTGTGGTTTAGGCCTTTAAAAGCAGCTTCGGCTTGGGTCTTTTCCAGCGGTCGGAAGCACAGTTATTGCTCTTAAGACCGAATGGCGAGTGTGGGATTCCTCACCAAGTGTGGTGCTCCGAATGATGCTTTCAAAGTGCAAAGCGGAAGGATCTTCAAATATGATAGTGGGCACCCTCCATTTTTCAAATCCTTGCTTTTTTCTAACCTAAAGCTTTAATTAAAAGAAAAAATTAGTGTGGAAAAAGCAGGGAGATGGTGTAGGGGATTCTTACACGTCTCCAAAGCCTCAATCTTTGTCAGTCTGTTTTCATCTAGACCTTCAGCCTTCTCAACATTTTTTGTTGTGAGCATAGGAGCTCATGCAGCTCAGCCCTGCCTGTAACACCTGCTCTTCCTGCCTCTCATGTGCTGGAGTTACAGGCCTGGTGTCAACATAATTTTAAAGCAAATCATAAGCGTAGTTGATTTAAATAATTAGTTTTTATCCCCAGTCATTGGGAACTGAAACACCTCTGAACTGTTACTTGAAAGGGTGTGGTCGTCGGTTCCTCCCCCCCCACCCCCCCAATGTATTTTGCATTGGTTAACTATTCCGAAAAGACTCATACAAATGGATTTCTTCTTTCTCCTCTCAGAATAACTTCTCTTCGGTTCTGATGTTTTGTGCAGTGGTGATATTATATCTAGCAGGTAGCTGTTGGAAATGGGTCAGATGGACCAGCCCAGCTGCCACCCTGGATGTGTCAGAACTGGGTGATCCACATCTGATGTCCAGTGAACCCTGACTGTCTCACCAATGACTTTTCTGTATTTCCACATGTTGAGAGTCTGGATGGCCCTCCCAGGGCCATTCTTAGGAGAAGGCAGGACTAGAATTTGGAACTCCGTAGCCTTCCTCTCCGAGATCAGAAAGGTTTCTCACTCCTTCAAAAACATCCTGTGTGAAAAAGATTATCCAGTCTGCAAAACTGTGTCCCTTTGACACGATTACTGAATCAAGTCTCTGGTGTTTCCTTCCAGACATTGCTTATGGTAGAGGTTTGTTCAAGTCAGAACACAAATACAAACCAACAGGCACAGGTATACAAAGGCATTACTGAAGCCTCCCAAAATAAGAGGAAGTTAACTGTTGTGGGAAGGAGAAGGGCTTGCTGACCTGAAAAAGGGGGGCCATCCCATAGTGGCACTTTGAGTAGCACTGTTTCCACTGAATCAGAGATTATAATGTTTACTTGAGGTTGTTCAGGAGCATGCTGATGACTTAATGGTTTGAAACAAAGCAACCCCCCTCATTTGCTCTCTCCCGAGAGAGTTAACATAGTATGGTTGGTTGTACCCATGCACCAATTGAAAGGAACTTTCCTGCTATCCTGTAAGCTTTGCAAAAGCTCCCTGGCACAGTGGTTATTAGAGAACCTGCGTCTTGCCTCTTCTCTCTGGTCCCATTTCTCTGCCACCTTCTTTCATCACAAAAGCAGTGTGGCACCTACCTTTGCTTTGCCTGGACAGGAAAGCTTGTGAAGCGCAGTTGGCAGGCCGAGTTATAAAGCTTGCCTTTTGTCATGGAAGGTGCTCTCGGTGGCTTTTATTCCGTGTTTCTGCTCAGCATTTGCTTGTAGCCTGTGGGACTGTGTAATGTCTTTTCTAGACAAGGTGAAGATAGAAAGTGTGCATTTGGCATAGGTGGGGTAGAAAATTACTATTAACACCTTCATCATGAGCCCCTCCCCCCTCTCTCTCGACATAGTCTATAACCTGGAGCTTTATAGGAACAATTAAGGTTCCATCCAAAGGGCTTGAAGGCCTCTAGTAAACCCACCGTCTACCTTAGTTTTAGGTTGAGCTCTCTTGGATGCTGAGTGGTCATCCCTAGCTGTTGGTTTCTGGCTCTGCCTGTGTGAGGAATAAAAGGCCTGCCCTACTACTAATAAAACAGAAGCTCAGGAAGAGTGTCTCTGTGCTCAGTTTTCACCTGCACTTGATCTAGGTCAGGCTCATAGCCACGTGTGGTAGAGGGAGGACTCATGGAGGTGAGAAATGTTCTCTGAAGAGCGTGTTGCCAACAGGCCTAAGAGCTTCTTGTGGAATTCAGCATTGGTCACTGGGTTTGTCACAGAACAAAGTGGACATGTGTGTTAGTCCAAGGTTGGCTGCATTCGCTTTGCAGGAAGTATTTGCAGAGGATTAAAAGATCACATGCCTCCAGCTCCTGGTCTGGAAATCAGAGCAACTATCTTGTCTGCTGAGAATCATGTCTGTGTGTAGGTGTGTATGTGTGTATATGTGTGTGTGTCTGTGTGTCTGTGTGTGTCTGTGTTCCATAGTCTCT